TTTTCTAATGAAATCAAAGATCAAAATACATTGCAAAGATTCTAGGACGTGTGAATTATATTGCCGGCTTTATTGCTAATATTCAACAAATTTGTGAACCCTTTTTTCAAAGGTCACGAAAAAACCCAATTGCTTGGAGTTTCCCTCAAAACATTACCGTTGTTAAAATTAAAGGATTAGTGAAATCACTTTCAAGTCTTTTCATTCTTAACATCATGCTTTTCTCATAATATAAATTGATTCATCAAATTTTGGGTTATGGTGGCATTCTCGAACAATAATAAAGAAGGATTGGAGAGATACCATTATGGCGTATGGATAACTGCTCAAAAAAATTATTCAACAACAAAATAAATAAGAAATTTATCTATAGTACTATGTATTACAAAATTTCAAAATTATTTAATAAATTAAACTTTTTAGATATGTACTGACTGCTAGAGATGTTTACAGAAGGATGTTAAAAATTTAATGTCGAAGCAAAATATTTGCATAAATGGAAAGCATTATTATTCTGCTTTGATTTTTCAACTGAATATATTAAAGGTACTGACAATGATATCCAGACTATTTGACGAGAATTTTTTTGGGACGAACAGAGAAAGAACAAAATTAGCAAAAAGCCTAGCAACTCATTGTCCCTTCCATAATCTACAGTGGCCGACCTAGGATGAAAATTGGGCGAAACCAAAAAATCATAGGAAAAAACCTGGAAAAGCTGGAAAAACCTCAAGAAAAATAAAAAATTTGAAAATTGAGTGGGGCGGCTGACCCCATTCGGCCTCAAGTGGGTCCGCCCCTGATAATCTAAAGATTCATATATGATGAATAAAAAGAGGCTGATTGCCCCTTCTTCAACCTCAGAAGCTCCTCCTTCAGCCTCAAAAGAGTAATTTAATAGCCCTTGTTCCTCAAAAAACAGTTAACCGAATGTCCATCAAAGACATCATCTTCTTCCACAAAAAATAACCAAATTGTTCAAAATAGGTTTGAAGTGCTAGGAAAAGTTTCAAAAATGCCATTATCAATAAAAATCAATTACTAACTACAAGTTATTCTCAAAGAAGATTTCGAGACAATCATTCTTCTCGTAAATGAATTCAAAGCTCCTTCTCTTCCAAAAAATTTAAAAAATATCTTTTCCTGAGATTTTTCATTTATTGATGATAATCTTCTTGAAACAAAAATGAGTTCATTTTATATTCGATTGAAATTATTCATAGACCTGACCCTGAAAGTCTAGATTTTTCAAAATTGAAAATCCTCAATGTCCTCCCATTTTCAGTGTGGGTGGAAACATCCTATCAAAAATTAATTTTCGAAGCCCTTATTCCAGAATCCTTCTCTTATACAGATTTTTATGCACGCGTGGAACTATTTATTCTATTTACGCAGTTCTACCCATTCTTGGTTGCAAGAGGCTGTCCAAAAACATTTCCCATGTGGTTTCAATACCGGTGATTCTTTTTCAGAATCACCAAAAACATTCTTCCAGAAGAAATAAAAAAGATTTTAAAATCTAACCAGTCAGGATCAAAGTTTCATTTCACTTTTCCAGAAATTCAATATAGTCTCGATATTTTGTTGGGATTTTTCATCAATGTTCATGTTGGAAAATACGGGTAATGGGTCACCCATACGGGGTGACCTGACCTACAAGATTTTAAAAGGTTAGGAATGAATGTTTTGAATGGAATTTAAATCCATAAGCCCCCAACTCCCTAAAACTACTTGCAACCTCCACATAGGAGTTATGAAAAAAGGGGACAAAAGGATGGCACGGAAAAATTGTAAAAATTCGTATGGAAATTCACACCAAAATTATAAAGTCCCTAGAACTATATTTTTGGCATGAAATCTCACAAAAAAATAGCACTTAGATTGTGGATAATGATTCCCTTCCATTGTGATCGGGATTGGGACCATTGGAGAACAAGAAAATGTAGATTTTTGAGCTTGGGATTGCAATTTGATTCGACCACACAAAAAGATCTTGAAATTCATCATTTCAAGTAAATTTCTTGACCCAAAATTCATGTCAAAGTATGCTGCAAATTCCTACGTTGATATCAGAGCCATAAGGTTGAATTCCTTGTTGTAACTCATGCTTAAATATGTCATTACATGATACAGTTTGGGTTATGAATCTTGTATGCAAAGTTTTTGATGTAGGGGAATAATAACTTAGTAAGTATAACAAGAAGAGATGGGGGAAGGAAAGAGAAGAAGAAGACAGAGGTGGGGGAAGAGGGGAAAAACGGCTGCAAGCCAACTCTTTTATTTAATCAAATTCATCAACTGAAAAAATAACAATGTAAAATAGGTTTAAATACTAGAAAATACTGCAAACCTAGGGCCAAACCCAATACACAAGTCCATAAAATTAAAATAACCTAAATCCAATTAAAATAATTAAAACTGCTAAAATAATTAAAATGGACTGGGATGTCCTCATCAATTCTCCCGGGGTGGGAGAGAAAACTCGACCCTGTCGAGTGGCTATATCACCATAGGCATCCGTCAATCTCCCAACCATAGGTTGAGTGGCTGGGCAAGCTTCTTCCGGCGTCTGTAGAAATGCGTCAGTGGCGGTCTGAACCTGGTGTCCTCGCCAACTCCCCTCGGGTGGACGAGAGGCGATTTGGGCCAATGAAGATCCTGCTGACTCCGATAAAACTCTAACAAATTTGGGTCCAATTGCTGTAGTGTCTCCCTGGAGATCCATGCACAGTCACAATCTGGTCGACCAACCCAACGAACAAGGAAGCGCTGAACCTCTCCATCAGTAGTGAACATAGTTTCTTCATCTAAAATAGCATCAATTTTTTCTTTGTGTGCTGTGAGAGGTGGTAGTGGGTTAGAAGGGGTCAAAGAATTAGGGTCAAGGTCCACAATAGGAGATGACAGAGGATCATCTGAGGGAATGAAATGACCTTTATAAGCTACAAGGTCCTCAACATTGAAAGTAGAGTGGTAACCAAGGTGTGGTGGAAGGGAAGAGAAGAAGAAGACAGAGGCGGGGGAAGAGGGGAAAAACGGCTGCAAGCCAACTCTTTTATTTAATCAAATTCATCAACTGAAAAATAACAATGTAAAATAGGTTTAAATACTAGAAAATACTGCAAACATAGGGCCAAGCCCAATACACAAGTCCATAAAATTAAAATAATCTAAATCCAACTAAAATAATTAAAACTGCTAAAATAATTAAAATGGACTGGGATGTCCTCATCAGTTTTGAAACCTTATATGGTATTTAGTGGCATCATTTGAAAATTTACTGCCATCTGTTCATTCATCTTCATGTAGTAAAATTAGTATGATTAGAAAGGTATTCTCATAAGCTTTCTAACCATATAAAGGACATAAAATTTGGCTTCGGAATGAAGAAGTTATGACCTTTCAAAGTTTAGATATAAATCTGATTTTTTTTGCGTGAAAAACGGTAAAATACGAAATTTCATCACATGATGACTTCTTCCACACTATGTTTCGTGATGCTCATTTGGTATGGAGTTGGGTAGATCTTCTCAAAACCTTTCTAATGATACAAAGAACATAAATTTTGGCTTTGAGATGAAGAAGTTATGGCCTCCCAAAGAATTGATAAAAATTTGGAAATTCTGTTCCTTTTTTTTTTTTAAAGATGAACAATAGTTTTTTTTTTCCATTTTTTAGTCTCGATCGGATCTATTTGGGTTCAGAACACAGTCTTAAAAATTGATATTGTAAAATCTGACCACACAAATAAACTCAAAATGTTAAATTGATTAAAGGGACGAATTAACAAAAAAAATTTATTGAATAAGCGCTGCGGATGGACGTGTAGTGAGCGTTCAGTGCCCCTATTTTATATAAAAGAAAAAAAAAGGTTAAAAAGTTGGAATGTTAAATCACAACAAAAAAACAACCTTTTACAACGTTCAAAAAACGTTGCCGAAAAACTTTTGCAACGTTCGAATGTATGTTACAAACCTCAATGTTGCCGTAGAGTAAAAGGATATGGCAACATTTTCTTAACGTTGTAATAACCTTTTTGCATCATTTTTTAAAGGTTGAGAATAACTTTTTTGCAGCATTTTTTAAACATTGCTAATAACCTTTTTGCAGTGTTTTTTGAACGTTATGAAAAAGGTTTTTGCAACGCTTTTAGAACATTGCGAATAACTTTTGTGCATAAATACCAGGTAAGTGGCACCATTGCATAAAGAGAGGAAATAAAAAATAGCACAAGCAAAGACCAAGTCACTCATCTTTTTAAAAGACAAGGCAATTAAGCCAAAAGATTCCAAATTGCCAAAATGGTTCCGAAGATCAAGAACAAGTCACCCATCTTTTGAAATTGCATAAGAAAGATAACCTAAAATCGTGTCCATTGTACTCTCAGTCCTAACTAGACATTATCAAAAGAACTAGAACACACAAACCCAAAAAGGGTCTTAAACAGATATTGGGCAAACCAATGGAAAAAAATTGAAAATACAAGCAGGCAGTCTGTATGCACTCCTTTTTTACTCGCACCATTTAACAACACATCAAATAACCAGAATGATATGCTCAGCCTTTTAGAATCAAAGCAAAAGGTTGATCAACTAAACAGTAGGCAGAACAAATCCTATGCTAAAAAGTAAGACAGATTATTGGATTGAAAAAATGAACATAACAATACAGACGAACTACAAAAACATAAAAGAAAAAGACCCCAACATTCTCAAATTTTGTAGCAGTTGAGCTTTCATTCATTTCCCAGTCATTTCTTATGTTTACAAAACTCTTAACTATTTTACAATTTACACCAAAAAGAAACTATTAATAAGATTCNNNNCCCCCCCCCCCCCCCCACACAAAAAAAAAAAAATTGAACTTAAGTAATCCAATTCATTTCTTGATACCTAAATCAAGTTTGAAGTCGAATTTGCTAGGGTTGGAAAAGGAAATATAATCCAATATGGCCCAGAAAATTTATAAAATGAAGCACAGAAATAATAAAATCAAATAGATGAAAAAGAAAAGGGAGAACTTATAAATTAATTCATTAACACCTAATCACCAAACAAATGGCTTAAAACTTAAAAGTCATAAAGAAATAAGCACTTAATCTAGAAGGGTTTTAAAATCAATTATAGATAAATCAAAGTGATCACAAACTCCAGGCTTGGGGGACAGGGGCAGTATCCAATGAGGTATTAACTCCAGGCTTGAGGCTCTATCGCTCCAGCAGCTTGTGAGACTGAGTTCTTCTACCTGCAAATCAACAAATGAATTTCATAAGAATCACAAAAGTGACTCATCTTGATTCTAGGCTCGAATCAAATCAAAATAACTAAAAAGAAAAGTTCAACGAGAGGGCTTCCGGCTTCACTTGTTCACGGTTCAGTAGTTCTAGTTCACTTTCTTTCTGCTTCCAAAAATGAATCACAGCTGCTTGCGCTACTGGCCGCTGATGGTGTCAATGGAAGAAAGACTAAAGGCAGCATCGACGTCGTCTAGTCGAGGGCTCAGAGTGCCAATAGTGAGAATATGAGAAGCAGAATGAAAAGATTCAAAGTCTTCGTGGCCATACTTCGTAATGTCCGTTCATCTTACAGATCGGCAATTCCAAATCACATGAATGTGTGATTGTTGAGAGATGAGTAGAATCAAATATGATGGATTGGATTTGGGCAAGAACCGGGTTGGGTTGCTAGCGGAGACGAGAGAATGAGGAAAAATTAGGGTTAATGTCTTAAACTGATTTGATTTTAAGGAGATTTTCTTTTGGTTTCGATAAGATCATTTTTTACAATGTTTGATACATGTTGTAAAAAGTGAGATTTTTCGCAACGTTCCCATTGCAACATTTGAAAAACATTGTAAAGTGAGACTTTTCACAACGCTCAAAAAACGTTGCAGAAAGCTTTTCAGCAACATGCATTGAACGTTGCTATACAATTATATTTTGAAAATAGTTAGCAAACATTGCAAAAAATAAAAATTTTTGCAACATTAAAAAAATATTGCGACAAGTAATATTGGCAACATTTTTTAAAAAAATGTTGCCAATGAAACATAATTACATTAACTAATTGCAACATTCATTTATTAAAATCGCAATAGACCCCTTTAACAACATTCATTAGTTGTAAAAAAGTATTTTTGTTGTAGTGAATAAAAATGCCATTTGACTTTTTTTCAAATAAAATTTAGAAAATTGCAAATTGGTCCTTCAATATATTCTCGATTTTTATGTGTAATTAAAATTAATTTTCAAATAATTAAAAATATTTTTTGGACTCAATTAAATTTTGAAAATTTTTATAAAAGTCGTGAATATTTGTTAAGTGGTATTTGCTGTGCGGGAGTTATTGTTATTATTATTTTGAAGTGTTTAATTTTTAAACGAAAAATACTCCGAAGGTATTTAAAATATCATATTTTATATACGTTTATGAGCTGTGTGGATCGTGATTAGGTTATGTAAACCATTGTTACTTGTTTTCAATTTTTTGTACTTGATCAGATGTGGCTAGATATATGCATATTTATCGCATCCTTAGAAGAAATACTATGAAACCAAAGGTTATGGAACTTGTTGAAATGTTCCCTGCTTATCGATATAAATAAATTGGTCTGGAACATGACCAATTGTGGAACACGTGAATATTTTGGGATATAAGTTTTTTATGACAAGCAAAATATGAAAATTTCTGATGTCACTTCCCATTTATTAGGACTATGTTGCGACAAAGAATTAAATGGGATTGAGAATGTGTAAAATAAAACTTAAACGATGTTAGTTTTATTTTTGAATTATAACTGAAGTTATCTCTTGGAAGAATTAATTTGTTATATCATGATGTATGTTATGATTAGATAAATGTGAATATTTATGTTTTTTATTGTATGTTATGAAATTTTCTAATTGAATACGTGATATCCATTAATTCATGTATTGTTATAAATGCTAAAGTCAGTAAAATTACTGAATTTCTTACTTAGACCTATTGATTGTTAGTTGAGTGATAGTTCGATGATTGGAAAATTTAAAGAAAATTTCACCTAGAACTATTTGATTCACCAACTAAGTAGGAGCTCTCAAATTGGAAGAATTAATGTAACTCTCACTTAGAATCCATGGAATTTTGCATTATAAAATTAAGTTTTTGATAGTGAAACAATAGAATTGCATACGATGATTGAGAACATAGTGTACTTTCAACTTCGGACCTAACGTTGAACTATCATAGACGTTAATTTAAGTTAATGAAAAATCAAATATGTGCATAAATGAGTATTGGTTGAGAATAAAATGTCTCAAAGAATCTGATACATCATGGTATTGAAATTTATAATGGTTGACCTTAATAAAGATAATAAACTAAATGCGATAACATTTGGTATGATAAGATTTTGAGTGTATTAGAAGGACATGATGCTTTAGAGAGCATCAACCACACAATAAAAGACCTTATGTAGGTTATACTACTCTAGAGAATAAAGATCAGAACTTTGTTAAGTACGAGAAAAGATAGATTCTAGTACCTGAACATTTGAATTGTTAAGTTCTAATATAAATGACTTTTTTCTCGAATGTGAGTTCGTCGATGGTTAATGTTACTTCATGTATTAAGTTAGCCATCAGAAAGCACCACGTGGAGATCCCACTAACGCCATCGGAAGAGTAAGCCCAAAGCGTATGAGAAGACGAAGCAACAATGTTACGAAGGTTACAGAAGCCAAAGTCCTTATTTGGGTCAAGGTGCCACTCAACCAGATACATGTCGAAGCCTTGACAAAGGGTTTATGCCGGAGTCCTCATATTCGTGACTCGCCGAGGCTTTGAAAGACAAAGCGGAAATCTTGAAGGACGAGGAGGCTACCATATCTGATGACTTGACGAATATCTTTATGAAAGATTGATTAGACGTCTACTTTAACTTATGTTTGGAACATCAGCCTAGAAATATAGGGCATTTGACTCTTTGTTAATGCAATAAACTTATGTGCAAGAAGGATGTGATGTTTAGAAGAAGGAGGTAGGGGTACGTGGTTCGGATCCAATGGCCACCATGTCTTGCCCAAACTCTGTATATACCCTCCCCTTGAGAAAGAGAAAGAGAGAGAAATGTGTGGAACGATAGAAACAACACATAAATAAAAAGAGAACAATGAGAGAAAACCCAGGAAATAAAATAAGGAATATATATATTAATTTTTGGTGCACTTTGGAGAGAAGAATAAATACTATTCCATACACTTCATGTCATTGAATCTCTTATTTGTTCTTCTTTTTCTTCCACAAATATACGTATTTACAACCTATTTACTACAAGGATACGTCTACGCATACACTATCTTCTAATGACACTTGTTAGCCATTTTCGAAGGTCAATAGTTAATATAGTGTTAACATTTTCGTTGGTCACATTATTTTTAAATGAGTGGTAAGGTCAAACTAGTCACTTCTCAATATAGGAGAACTTTAAAGTTTATTATTGTGACTTACAAATTGAAGCGTCAATTTTCTAGATGCGGGACTTGATGTTGCTATGTCTTGAGGCCATGCTTATGTAGCAATTTTCTAGCTTACATAAGACTTTGAATCTTAAATATTAAATGAGCTAGAACAAATGTGGATAGATAAAGACACTAAAGGGATCAAGAAGAACATATCAGATAGTAAGTAAATGAAAATGGGTTTGATAAAGGATCAATGTTATAAAAGTTCAAGTACTTTAACTATACGATTTGAATCTCTTATCTCGAAAGTGGCTAAGTTAAAGGACATTGCACTCGAATATATTCCTCTTAGTGTTGTTTATGTGTCAACACTATACATATTGAATCTTATCGTGTGTGGATAGTGAATTCAAGAGTGCATTAATTGATAAAACATGCGTTTTTCAGGAAAAGAGTGAGTCTCATAAAATTTTTTAGGTTCCACACGATTTTTGCACTTTTAAAATGTTTTTGGGATATTCGAAACATATTTGAATAATAGTGTGCAAGTATTTCATTTGTCGAGCTAAGTTAAACCAAAATTGTGCTTCTCAAGGTTGACATTGAATTTCAAAAGTTTAGAGTTCCACAGATCATCTATACAGCTCAAAACTCTATTGGCATGAAAAATGGGGTTTGGGATTGTTGAGATTGCTTGAAGGGTCAAAACTCTAAAGTAAGGGAAAATCTACCTTGGTGGTAACCTAGGCCATTGATACCAGACATATGCCCTTGTCGCACTTACCCTCGACAGAGGCCATTTATGACCTTAGAGGTGTGCCCCTCGAACCATTTGAGGTGCGCGCCCTCTTTTTTACTGGGTTGGGGTTTTTAACCCTTCAACCCCAGGACTCTTTAGCCTAAATTCCCCATTCCCAACTTATTCTCTCAAGACCAATTCCTCATCTCCTCTTCTAGAACACACACTCTTTACTCACTCTCAAATTACTTGGGCATTGTACAAAAGAGTGCATTACAACAACAACCCCCAACCTCGGAACTCTTTGGCCCAAATTCCCCATTCCCAAGTTATTCTCTCAAGACCAATTCCTCATCTCCTCTTCTAGAACACACACTCTTTACTCACTTTCAAATTTACTTGGGCATTGTACAAAAGAGTGCATTACAACAACAACAACACACAAGTTATAACCACTTTTCTCCACAAAAATTCAAGAAGAGTAAGGTAAATTGGCCACACTTCAAGTTTATCTTTTTACCATTTTTTTTCTTTACTTTCCTTGGGAATTTGATAAAAACTATGAAATAAATGGAGATTAGGCTTAGGTAGTGAATGGATTGTAGCTATGTTGTGATTTTTTCTGGATTGTCCACTTTGAGTTAATTATTCTTGGAATTTTTAAGTATGTACATATAGTGTTTGATATAATGCCTCTATGAAGCGTTTGGTGGAAGTTGTACACCATGTTTTCACACAATTCAATAGTTTTACATAGATTAACACCCCCTCATATCCTTGCATTCTGAAAGAATCTTGATTTGCATGAATTTGGAAAAAGACGTAAGTTTTAACATGTGTTTTCCAATTTTTCCAGCTTGCGGCCGTAGGTTGCAGCCACAGTCCCTGCATTGCGTCCCCTACTTCTCAGCATCAAGTCTTGTACATCCGGCTCCCATTTTCCTATCCATTATGTCATCTTTGGACTCATTAGAGCTATTATGTCATATACTTGGACAAATACTTGATTTTCTCATGTTTCACAAGAGTGGCACCAAAAAGGAAAGATGCCCCTACGTCCTCCAAAGAAAAGGGCAAAGTCTCTACATCCAATACCACAGCATGCACTCATGTCGATGACAGAGGCATGAGGAGATTCCAGAGTTTGGATGATAAGACGATATTTGATAGCATCTTGGCCAAGAGGAAGATGTGGCTAGAAAGACAACTAATATTGGAGGATTTTAAGGATTATGAAATTGAGATTTTTATACATAGAGCATGATGGGCACATGTGATTGCAAAACCATGGGAGATTTACCCTACTTTGGTACATGAGTTCTATGCAAATTTCAATTCGCTAGATTGACAATCCTGGGACAGAGTGTGAACATTACACTTGGGTATGAGACAAGTGGGTTTTGTTTTTCATAAGGTTATTGGAGCATAATATGGATACAGTTATCTACTTGCTTAATAGGAGAGTAGATGCAGGGGATGTGGATAATGAATTTGAGCACAATATGCTAACTCAATCTTTTACTATATTGATGAAGTTCATTTGTCACAATATCGAGCATACCGCCCATTTGATTACATCAACCTTTGCAAAAGCGGGGTTGCTATTTCACTTGGCCGGGGACTTGAAGATCGACTTAGGCACGTTCATATATAATCAGATTTGTGGGTTTGCTATCAAGCTAGAGCATTACTAGACATTAATTTTTTCCGACCTCAGCAAGGGGATTTTCAGATCTTTTGGGGTCAGCTTCTTTCTGCGAAGCAGTTGACTTGGGCCAGTGTTGCTATTAATTGTAAGATAGCAGATCATTTTTGGAGAGCTATCATACGAAGCAGACAGTATCAGCAGTAGGAGGAGGTAGCTGAAGGATATGGGGATGCCACCCAATTTTCTCAGCAACCACATCCAAACCCTACTGTCAATCATCCATTCATGCGATGGTTATTTGCTAGTTCGACTAAGACCATCCAAAGAATTCAGGACATTCTGCAGTCACTTGGAGCTTGCACTTAAGAGTTCAAAGTATAGAGAAGACTGCTCAAGGCATACAAGGTGATGTGAATGTGATACGTTTTGATGCGTCCAGTACGAATGGAAGGAACGACATGCTTAGGAAGAGTATAAATAGATACTCAGGACGGATTGACGAGCTGAACATCGAGTTGATCAGACTAATGATCTAGTTTTGAGACATCCAAGGCCAGGTTGATGAGACATATGACATGGTATGCTGCATGCAGGTTGGTTGGATCAGACATACAATTTGAAGCAAAAGATTCTCTCGCGTAAGCCTCCATCATCATCTTTAGATCCACGAGGCTCGGGAGCATTCCATCCATTTTCACCACCACCTTCAGACTAACCAGTGGAGTTCTCAGGTATCCTCTTTGCCTTTCTTTTTTGCATTACAAATATCATATTATTGTACATTGAGGGGAATGCACAAGTTAAGTTTTGTGATAGATGGTTTTATCATTGATTTTGTATAGTTTACTGCTTTTGTTATGTTTGTCGATTGTTTAAAAAAAACCAACCTGCAATGAATAGGGAAGGTATGGTAATGCTATGAATGACCTAGTATCGAATACTGGTAATAATATCAGCAAAAGAACGTTCTCGTGTGCTTCCAGACATGCTCTCTTTTATGCTTCTATATCTCTTTTCTGTACTTGTGTGGGTTTGATAGTCTTATTGAATAGAGGTAGATTACATGATAGTAAAGAGAAATTGGAGGTTTTCGATGCGAAGGAGATATGAGGCGTGGACTGAGTTTCCAGTGGAGAGGTTAGATTTGAATGAACCTGTACATGGTACTATAGAAATGGCTAAAGAAGAATTAGTAATTACAGAGGTATAGAGATACAAAGTGAGAGTTGTTTACGGAGAGAGAAAGATTGAGTGGTTTACAATTGAGGATGTCTTGGGGAGTAGGGGAAGTATTAATTAATCATGTATTAATTAAATTAAAAATTCATAATTTGCACCCGATTAATGAATTCAAAACTACACCTGTTGGTTTGTGAAATTGCATACTTGAGATATAAGATTTCGAGAAATTTTCCCTTTATAAAATTAGTCAAATGGACCAAACGTAGCTTTTGGATCTCAAAAAAACTTCTTTTGACTTTTCGAAAGTCATTTAAAATGGGCTCTATCTAAATTTAAGAGCCTAGATCAACATATAAAACACGGGAGTATTTACACAAATACCCTATATTTTAGGGCTGTTTTAAAAAAATATGATAAAGTTAGATTAAATGGTAATTAGTTGTATTTTAACGTACAAACTACATTCACACCTAAAAATCCACCACAAAAATCAGCCTTCAAAATGGAAAAATCAAAGGAAAATTCGAAGGAGAAAAATGAAATCTTCCACAAATTTATTCATAATTCAAAGGTTTGGAAAAATATCAAGACGACTCCAACATTGAAATCCCTGGAAAAACATCAAGACAATCTTTCTGTAATACACAAATGAAATTATTTTTTAATGTTTTTGAATCCTTGTTTAATTTGTTCCCCAATTTTGTTATTTTAAAATTGTTTAACATTCTCTTTGCATAGATTACTAAAGTTACAGTCGTAATTATCAATTTTCAGTCAAATAATCTCTCACTTTCAAATTCTAATCATCATAGTTCATTGCACACATCTCACTTTTATTTGAATTTGTGATTAGGTTTAGTTTTAACTTTATAGTGTAAATAATTAACATTTATGATGTTTTTTTGATGATTTTGTTATTGTGATTGAAAACATGTTTCAAAACAACGTTGTTCAACTTGACAGGAAATGAATTGTGTCAATACATAGAGACATTAAAAATTAGCTTTGAATCAATTAAAATGATGCATGCAAGGTGTTTGACAAAATGAGAATGTAAAAAAAGAGACGTTCTATCAATTTCTTAAAAAATAAAAATAAATAAATTAATAATTCACACATATCATTGAAGCAGTTTAATAGATGTATACGTGTGCATTTTTGAAAATTTAGACATACTAATTCATGCCCTATTTTATGATAATACATATGAAAAAGAAAATTTTGAACCAATTATATTGATTCATTCAACGTATTTGTTCAAGAAGAATCTGAATTCTCACTTTTCTTAAAAAAAGTCAAACTATATCATCGGAGCAGTTACCTAGATACATATGTGTGCATTTTTAAAAGTTTAAACATACCAATTCAAGCCATGTTATCTAGTAATACATATGAAAAAATAGTTTTGAATTACTTAAAATTATACATGCAAGGTGTTGACAAAAGAAAAATGTGAAAAAGTTACATTCTATCACTTTTCTTTTAAAAAAGTCACTATATCATTGGACCAATGACCTAGATGCATACATGTGCATTTTTGAAAATTTGAACATTCCAATTCAAGCCTAGTTTTCTAGTAATACATAAGAAAAAAATTGTGAATCAATTACATTGATGCAAGATGTTTGCACAAAATGAGTGTAAAACAAATGAGATTCTATTTTCTCCAAACTCCCTCTCTCTCTCTCTCTCTTTTATATATATATATATATATATATATATATATATGAGCTAATTTGAGCACATGAGCTATACATTCCCAAATTTGAATGTGATGCAAGCTAGACTTGCTTCCATTTCACAATTCCAAGGAAGTCTCAAAAACTGACTTAGAAGGAACTAAGATAAGATCATATGCTAATGTTGCCAGTGCATATCTTCAAAATGAGGTAGGTAGATTTTTGAAACTCATACTCATGCAAAAATAAGGTTAAAAAAAAAGAGATTTTTTTTTTCCCAAAAAAAAAAAAAAAAAAAAGTCGCATTGTATCATTGGAGTAATTAATTAGATGCATACGTGTGCATTTTTGGAACTTTGAATTTACTGTTTACGAAATAATGATTTCGATTTAAACCATTGCAAGTGTACGGTTCATTAACAAATAATAAAGTAGATTCTAGAGTCCGATTATCATCCCACAGATATTGGATAGCCTAATTTTATTTATATTGGCCTTAACCGAAACTAAATTATCACAAGTGATTTTGTAGCATAATTACTCCCTAATCTAACCTAATTATGCAATTAATTATGCTTGTAATGAACAAAATGCAATGTGATGTTTAAATGAGCTAGAATGCTATTTAATGTTGAGAACGCAACTCTAGTTTCACAAATTGACAACATGATGAAATTCTGAAAAATCATTGTTCCTAAATCTATCCAACACGCTCTCTCGAGTAGTGTCAAACCTATTCTCATTTACCACAAGCTTATATTTCTATGACGGATGCAAATATCCAAGAATGCAGTGGTTTTGTGAGCATTTAGAGATCACGCAAGGTATAGCTATATAGATGTATACCCTATCAGACCACATGTATGCATCTTTTCTACTGAATTCCATCATATTCATCAAGATAGTCGTACGAAACAAGATTTAATAGAATTAAGCCATGTTTCACTATATTTTTCAGGAAATACTCATGTTTTGTAGCTTGAATAAGCGTGTAAAAGCACACTTATCACATACCAATTTCAAATCCTATTTTCTGGTAATACATATGAAAAAAAAATTGAATCAATTACATTGATGCATGCAAGGTGTTTGCTCAAAGAGAAAGTGAATTGTGTCACTTTTCTTAAAAAGGAAAAAAAAATCACACTAAATCATTGGAACTATTACCTAGATGCATACATATGCATTTTTGGAAATTTGAACATACCAATTCAAGTCCTTTCAGGTACTACATATGAGAAAGAAAATTTTGAATCAATTATATTGATACATGCAAGGTGTTTACTCACGGAGAATGTGAAAAAATGACATTTTCAAAAAAAAAAAAAAGTCACAACATATTTTTGGAGCAATTAACTAGATGCATACATGTACGTTTTTGAAATTTTGAATATACTAATTCAAGCTCTATTTTCTGATAATACATATGAAAAAGAAAATTTTGAATCTATTACATTGATGCATGTAAGGTATTTACTCAAAGAGAATATGAAAAATGGATACTATCACTTTTCTTTAAAAAAAAAAGAAGTCACAATATCTCATTGAGCAATTAACTGAGTGCACATGTGTGTGTTTTTGAAAAATTGAACATATAAATTCGAGCCCTATTTTATTTTAGTACATATGAAAACTAGCATTATTTTGGAAATTAGAATATACGAATTGAAGCCCTGTTTTATGTTAATACATACGACTTCAAAATTGATGTTACGTTTTTTTAGCTTATTTACGAACTATTTTCTTCATTCGTCGGGTAAGATTTTTGTTATTATTTCGAAATATTCACGATAAACTTTGAAATATATCTTTCGAATTTAAAAAAGTCAAATGGCGAGTTCAAAATAACTAGCCAAAAAGTCTGCAAGAAATGGTGTTAATATTATTGTTTATTTTGCGTTCCATAATTCATGTGAGATAATTTTTTATATTTAAATTTCATCCATAACATATTTATCATGGTCACATTGCAAGCTTTCTAACAGATTTTGAACCGCTTAAAATGGATAATTTTTCAAAATAGTGCATCTAATTTCCTCTAAAAGGCACTTATCAAACGGTCGTGGCCCTTCTAAATTTTTTTGTAGCATATCTTACTTTAGATAGAATCCTTCATAGAAAATCTAAGCCAAATATGCTCTAAATCTCTTTTAAACGAGTTAAACAAACAATCAAGCCACCTCTTTGACTATTATAGAGAACAATGATCGAATCTGGTGTGATTGTATTTCATTTTCTATTTCGTCCGTAATTCACAATAATATGTTTAGTTGAAGTTTTAAAAAAAATTCACAACCTAGGGTTTTCAAGTTTACGCTCCAGTGGTTATGTTTAATATGCTAAAATCGCACCAAAAGAAGCTAATGAAGTAAAGTAAAATAAAATAAAATCTTCTTTTCCATGCCATGCACTCTCCAATACTAGAACATGTGCTTAGAACTTTTGCCTCGTGAACCCTGAAAGGTAACTTAATGGTCAGATCTTGAATTTGCTCTCCAACGATTACCAGTTCAAGTCTCCTCACGACCACCGAGTTGAACACCCGGTTGTAAATTTTAGGGTATCATGGGATTAGTCGAGGTGTACGTAAACTAGCTCGGACATCCATGGTTATTAAAAAAAAAATTTATTTTACCACGAGCTTAGAAATTTAACCACAATAATCAAGGATTGAGTAGTTTAATTGTAATTAAAATGTGGTGTGTCAAATAAAAATTATAGTGTCAATATAAACACCCTTATAAAAAAATAATGATCGGATCTAGTATGATTGTATTTTGTTTTTTATTTCGTCCGTAATGTACAATAATATGATTTAATAATATGTTTAGCTGGAGTTTAAAAAAAAAAAAAGAAAAAAAAAATAATAACCTAGGGACTTTCAAGTTCACGCTCCAATGATTATGTTTTTAATATTCTAAGGTAAATCGCACCAAAGAAAGCGAATAGAGTAAAATAAAAAATAAAATAAAATAAAATCTTCTTCATTGTGCCATGCACTCTCCAGTACTAAAACATGTGCTTAGAACTTGGATAAATCAGACTGGCTCGGCTTTTATTTAGCCTATAAAATTTATACAATTTTTATTTGTTATTTTCCTTTTTTTAGTTTTTAGTGATAAATATACGCTGTTTCAAGCCTTCATTTTCCCTCTCAAAAACCAATCATCTTCTCTGACGGTCTCCTTCATCATTCATCAAACACAAACACAAACACAGTGCCGAAAAACAAGAAACTGAATTTCATAATAATGGCGAATTGTACTTGTTCACATTGGTGGCACGCCCCTTTCTACTTTTCCATGTCTATAGTTCTTTGTTGTATCGCAATCACAACAATGAAGAATTCAGCGCCCAAGAATCCCCTCCAACCGGGCCACACCATCAAGCACGATCTTGCCCTGAACGCCTCACGGGCCCTGAGAATCCATGGCTTCAACGCCATAGCCACCCTTCTTCAAATCTCCCCCGAACTCTTCCTCTCTGGGCCAGAATCGACTATCTTTGCAATCCAAGATTCTGCCATGTCTAATGTTTCTGTCCCGCCTTGGGTGATGAAACAACTTCTGCAGTACCACACCAGCCCCTCGAAGCTGCCAATGCAAGAATTGATGAAGAAGCCCCATGGAAGTTGCTTGACGACCCTGGTTTATGACAAGAATTTGATGATCACGACAAAGAATGATACAAAAAGGGGCTCAATTGAGATCAACAGTGTGTTGATTTCTCATCCTGATATATTTCTTGAAGGGCCCGTTTCAGTACATGGTGTTCTTCGGCCTTTCTCTGATATTGATCAAGATTGGAATTTCATTCAATCTCCTGTGTGCAATTCTAATCAGACACTAGTTTCGAATCCTAATGAAAGAAGGAATATGGTCGAATGGGCCCGAATAGTCCAACTGTTGAGCTCTAATGGGTTCGTTTCCTTTGCCATTGGGTTGCATTCTGTTCTCAATGGAATTATTCAAGATTATCCAGATTTAGGTTCTGTTACAATCTTTGCTCCACCGAATTCGGGCTTCATATCGTCCCCTTGGCCACTGCTGTACAAAATTGTCAGAAGTCATATTCTGCATAACAGGTTTACTTACTTGGATTTGACTTCATTGCCTAAGAATAATTCTCTGAGGAATCTGGTTCCCGGTGAACATCTACAGATTAGTAAAAATAAACTTTCACGACTTCTTGTTGTTAACGGAGTGGAAATCACTTTGCCGGATATCCTTTCGTCCCAGAAGTTTGTGATCCATGGAATTTCAAGAGCTTTTGAAGTACATTCAGATGGGTTCATTTCTTGAATCAATAGAAACAGCCTAGTGTATTTTGGTAGATTTTCCCGACGTAATATGTCCATAAACAGTAAATTCTAAGAGGGACATTCAGTACTAATCCGCTTATCAAGAGCAAATAGTTTCTGTGGCAGTAAGGAATTTTCTCAGAACGGTTCATCATCAAGTTGTATTGGAGAACAACATACTTGTCATGGACTCGTGTGTAATATACGTACAAAAATCAGGTTAATGTACACATTTTCCGGCAAATGTTTAGTTGTAGAATTGGCTAGTGCAAAATGTAGTCTATTTTTGAATTGTGTTCCTGCAATCTTAAGGATAATTTTTGTCAAAGACACAATGTTTAAATAATTTTCTGATTTTTTATTTATTTATCACGATTCTAGAAAATACTAGTTTTTTCCCCATGCAATGCACGATTGTGTTATTTTGAAGATAATTTTAGAGTGTTCAATAATAAGGATTGACGAGATATGTGTTGTTTGAACAAAGGATGATTGATATAGAGGGCTATATCGAGTTCTTGAATTCTTCGTTATCCTTGCAAAGATGAAGTTCTTGTTAGAAGTACTTCGCTTTGGAGGGAAAGAAATGAAATAGAAATGTATCTATTGTGAAGGTTATAGAAAGAAATAGTAGAAAACTGCATTTGAAAGAAATCTTCTGTTTTTCATTAGTTTGGGAACTGATTATAAGCTCATTAAAAATGAGCAAGGGCACTTAAGACTTATTTCGAAAGAACTTATTTTTTAGTCTAAGCTTTTTCCCCAAAGAAATAACCAACTTAAAGCTGATAGTAAGCAATTTTCTAAACCCCCCCCCCCCCACCTCCCAAAAAAAAAGGTTCAACCTATCATCGTTCTAGTAAGAATTGAGCTGCAGAGCCTGGGATTAGATACCGGGCTCCGATCCAGGGGCTGAGGTGGCAAAATCTCAGCCCCTGGTGTAAAGGGGCACGGGTCCCATGTATTAAAGATCAAGGGCCGAGGCATGCGCCACCTCGGCCCTGGAACGGAGCCCTCTGTAGCATCACTCTTCTAGTAATATGTGGAGTTTAGGAAAAATGGTCCAAATGTTCTCACATAAGTAATCATTTTAGGCACATTATCTAGATAATGGCATGTTGAACCATATATGTTGGAATACAATGGCCAACGAACCACTCCTGACGTATGCATAAACTTTTGCTGCAAGAAGCATATTCGCAATCCTGATGGCATATTTTTCACTTTTAGCCAACTTATCCCCCTCTTCTTGCAACCAAAAAATAAAAATAAGTAGTAAACTCTGGTACCACATTGTTTACCAATTAATATCTAACATAAGATTTCACAACCTAATGAAGAAAGAAAATCAAATTATGGTTGTGAAGTGTAAACTTCTGACATCCTTGGTATAGAACATCACTCTGCTGGGGCATCCATTTCATTCAACCCCTCCAGCATTTTCTACCTGTTGCTGATAATACTTTGCAACACTATCTTCTGCAACTGTACCATCAAGACAAACAAATGAAAAGCATTATAAGCAGACTGTAGAAATACAAAAGGAGATAAATGTGACTGAAACCGAAAAATTGAGCCAAAAAGGTTAAAAAATAAATTCTTCAAGTTTTTATAGATCAGTGTTTATTTTTGAATTTCTTATGAAAAATGAAAATTATGTTGCTATATAAGTACCCACAAAAACAAAAACCTCACAGGCACAAGAATCATTCAAGCTGAAGCCCACCTACCAAAACTTGAAAACTAAAAACTTTCACATCTAAACAAATTCAAAATCAAAAGAGAATCAAAGAAGATAAAAGTACCTGAAATTGTATTCTCTCCAAATCTAAAAGAGTCAATGACTTTGGAGGAAAAAAAGAGAAACAGCAAAGTATGACTTGCGTGGGACCAAAAATGAGATTGAAGTGTGGAAAAACTTGGAGTAGAGTAAAGTTTTGAGCCGAGATAAGAGGCACGATAGCTGGTGCTCGCAGGCGACAAAGGTGAAGTGGGATTTGGTAGTGGTAGGTGATGGAGGTGTTAGATTTTGTGCCCCAAAATAGGGAGGATTATTATTTCGTTATTTTCATTTGATTTTATTGAAAAATATTGTTTCCTTATTTTCACGTAATTTTATTATAAAAATATTATTTTCTTAATTCCACATTATATTTTATATTATTTCTATCTTTATGGTATGATATGTACCTATAAATAGTCATCTCTTCATTCAGTTTTATTTAAGCAAAAATTGATGTGTTGTAATTTTCTCTCCATATTGTTATAATAAAACATCATTTCCTCTGCCGATCTCTCTTTGATTTCTTTACTTTAAGTCTTGTTTTATCTTTGTGATCTTATTATATATTTCATATAACGTCATTAATCTCAATCTTTGCGTCACCTTTGGGATCAATAAGTGGTATCAGAGCTTGATTCTTTGTGGATTGTTTGAGGTTTTTTAGAGATGGTTACCATAAAGTAAAGTATGACATTTTGCTGCTATATCGCAATACAAAGTTTTCTCTGTGGTAAGTAAAGATAAGGGCTATTTTGGCACAACTAGATTTGGACGATGTATTGTTGGGTTTTGATAAGATGCCAGCTAAACGGACAACAGAAGGATAGGAATGCTTTATTGCAGATTTATCTTCATTTAATCAATAATATCTTGCAAAATGTCTTGAAGAAGAAAACAAATGCTACTTTGTGGTTGAAACCGGAGCAGTTGTGCATGACTAAAAGTCTTACTAGCAAACTAGCTTTAAAGCAGAAGCTGTAATCCCATCACATGGTGGAAAAAGGGTCACTAGAAGACCACCTTGCTGTGCTGAAGGTAATTGTCGCAAATTTAGAGACATTGGAGGTTAAGTATGAGGATCTGGCTTTAATCATATTGTGATCGTTGTCCACCTCTTATTCATCATTTTGGGACACGATATTGTACAGTCATTATATGCTGACCATTGAAGATGTTTATGATGCTTTATTCTAAAAGGAGAAGATGAAGCATTTAGTTAGAGCTACATCGAGGGATGATAAAGCTCTTATATCTCATGGTAATTGACGGAGGGGCAAATCGAAAGTCAACTTCAGTAATTTGTATTACTTCTACTGCATAAGGAGAGGACACGTTAAGAAGGATTATAACAAGTTGCAGGCTAAAGGTAATTTAGCTGCAAATCATAGGGGGCAACATTCAATTCAAATGAGATTAATGTTACCGGGGATTTTTCTGATGGCGATGATCTGATGTTGACCGTAGTATCTGACGTGGAGTCTAAGTCTGACGAGGAGTGGATTCTTGATTTCGCATGTTTGTACCATATGTGTTCCAATCAGAATTTATTTCAAACATATGAGGTTGTCAAAAAAGGTTGAGTTGTCATGGGAAACAATCACTCTTGCTGTGTTGCTAAAATCGGTCGAGTCAAATTGAGGTTGTAGGATGAGACGGTCAGAACAATTGATCAGGTTTGACATGTTCCCAACCTGAAGAGGAATCTCATCTCCATGAGTGCCCTGGATTTAAAAGAGTATAAATTCTCTAGTGGGGGTGGAGTCTTGAAGGTTCAAAGGAAGTGTCTGGGTTGTACTGGAGAGATAGAAAAAGTCTCAATTGTACATCTTGTAAGGGAATGCAGAACCAGTTAAAAGACATTTGGAGAAGTTCAGTACTGTGGTGGAAATACAGTTTGGTACAATACATCTTGTCACGGGCTCTGGGTAATTTTAGAATATTCTTCAATGGAGCATTGGTGATTCTACTTTCCCACCAATTTCAGCGGATACATTGTGTTCATTTGATAGGGTTGCATCCATTGAACATAGGTAGGTGGTGTCGGTGATGTCAGTAAACCATTCGAGATCGTTGAAGGCGACAGTTCTAGAAATGGGCCTTCTAATTAGGCATTTGGTGTGGCTTTTGCTACAGTGTGATTTTCGACCATGTTTGGTTAATTCCTAGGCGAAATTTCGAAAACCCGAGAATAGGGTTCAAGTGTCGCCTGTAGACGCCATATAAAGATAGATTTTTTGGTGATGGAGAGTTTTGGTTACTTTGTTGAGGAGTTTGGCTATTTTGATGCAGATGAACTTATTTCTCAGGTGGAGAGATTTTGAAGTTTCGTTTGTTGCATCGGTAGGGTCAAGGTAGAGATTATTAGATTTTGTACCCCAAATTAAGGAGGATTTTTTGAAAAATGTTATTTCCTTTTTTTCACGTGATTTTATTGGAAAAATATTATTTTCTTAATTTCACAATATATTTTATATTATTTTCATCTTTATGGTATGGTATGATATGATATTTACCTATAAATAGTAGCAGTTTCATTCAGTTTTGTTTAAGCAAAAATTGTTGTGTTGTAATTTTCTCTCCATATTGTTATAATAAAATGTCTTTTCCTCTGCTTATCTCTCGTTTATTTCTTTACTTTTAATTTTGTTTCATTGTTGTGATCTTCGTTACTTCATATTATTCCATTAAATCTCGATTCTTAAAATCCTTTGGGATAAACAGGAGGTGGGGTGAAAGAGGGTGATGCCGAATTTCTATGGCAACTAAAATTAGGGTTCAAGAGAGAAAGCTATAAAAGTTACCCATTTTTCTCTCTATGCTCTTTTATGAGAAAGATATTTATGAGCAGTCCTTAACCAATTAGTGAATAGTAGATGTCCAGTTAGAGTGTGACATGGAGCACCATAAAAATGAATAGTGCAAGCTGATTCCCTATTTTATATAAGTGCAATGAAATGAAGTGAGATATACAATACATGGAGGAGCATCTATAAGGAAAGAATAATTACCCTATAATAATACAGAAAAGAATAATTACTCTATAATAACACGGAAGATAAATAAGTGCAATTACTAGTTAAAAATATTTGTCAATATCAATCCCTTAATTCTAACACTTCCCCTCAAATTGGAGCATAGATATCGCACATGCCTAATTTGAGTAAAAATCATCAAAAGCTTTGCTATCTACGACTTTGGTAGGTACATCGACTAGTTGATCTTCAGACTTCACAAAAGGAAAGATAATGATCCTAGTTTCAAGTTTTTCCCTAATGAAGTGTTTATCAACTTCTACGTGTTTCGTTCGATTGTGTTGAATTGGATTGTAAGCAATTTCAAGAGCTGAAGTGTTATCACAATACAACTTCACTGCATCCTAAGTGTCAACAATCGGATTCCTTAAA